GTATGCTTTTTGAGATGTCATATTTCTCTCGTGAGTGCAGTGGCCGCTTTGTATGCATTTTGAGATCTCAAATTTCGATCACAAGTGCCATTCGGGCCTGCTGTTCTCGCGTAAATCCACCAGAGGCCGCTGTGTACGCTTTTTGAAATCTCGAATTTCTCACGCTAGTGTCATTTGCGCCTGCTGTTCTCGCGTAAATCCACCAGAGGCCGCTGTGTACGCTTTTTAAAATCTCGACTTTCTCACGCTAGTGTCATTCGGGCCTGCTGTTCTCGCGTAAATCCACCAGAGGCCGCTGTGTACGCTTTTTGAAATCTCAAATTTCTCGCGCTAGTGTCATTCGCGCCTGCTGTTCTCGCGTAAATCCACCAGAGGCCGCTGTGTACGCTTTTTGAAATCTCGAATTTCTCACGCTAGTGTCATTCGCGCCTGCTGTTCTCACGTAAATCCACCAGAGGCCGCTGTGTACGCTTTTTGAAATCTCGAATTTCTCACGCTAGTGTCATTCGCGCCTGCTGTTCTCGCGTAAATCCACCAGAGGCCGCTGTGTACGCTTTTTGAAATCTCGAATTACTCACGCTAGTGTCATTCGCGCCTGCTGTTCTCGCGTAAATCCACCAGAGGCCGCTGTGTACGCTTTTTGAAATCTCAAATTTCTCGCGCTAGTGTCATTCGCGCCTGTTGTTCTCGCGTAAATCCACCAGAGGCCGCTGTGTACACTTTTTGAAATCTCGAATTTCTCACGCTAGTGTCATTCGCGCCTGCTGTTCTCACGTAAATCCACCAGAGGCCGCTGTGTACGCTTTTTGAAATCTCGAATTACTCACGCTAGTGTCATTCGCGCCTGCTGTTCTCGCGTAAATCCACCAGAGGCCGCTGTGTACGCTTTTTGAAATCTCGAATTACTCACGCTAGTGTCATTCGCGCCTGCTGTTCTCGCGTAAATCCACCAGAGGCCGCTGTGTACGCTTTTTGAAATCTCAAATTTCTCACACAAGTGTCATTTGCCCCTGCTCTTCTCGGTAAATCCACCAGAGGCCGCTGTGTACGCTTTTTGAAATCTCGAATTTCTCACACAAGTGTCATTCGCGCCTGCTGTTCTCGCGTAAATCCACCAGAGGCCAATGTCAACTGACTGAGCGATCGACTGACCCACCCTCCTCCTTTCTCAAACCCAACCAATAGCGTTTTCAATGGCATCGATTGACCCACCCACCCACTTCCCAAGTCATAAGTCCGCTGACATACGCAGCGAGCTACAGGACAAACTGGTAACAGCAGAAAAGTCGTCCATATGGAGGTAAGCGGTCAGCTGGTAGCACGAAAAGGAACGGTGTCATACTGCCCCATAGCATTCAACGAAATGCAGCTCTGGCTACATAATTTGCGATCTCCAGAAATGTATACAGGGGTACGCTTTCAAAATGAGCCTATGTTGGAGAAGAAGCAGCAGGTTTAACACTTTTCACAATTTTAAGGCCAAGTGTACATAGTAGCTCCGACACCGCTGGTGTTTAAAGGTGTTTTACAAAAGTAGGCTAATTTTACAACCCCCCTAGAGTGAAAGAGTTAAGTTTTACCATTTCGGAATCCATTAAGCCAATCTTTTAGCTTAGCTTAGCATAGATCATTGAATCAGATTAGACCATTAGCATCTCACTCAAAAATCACCAAAGAGTTTCAATAATCGACCTATTTAAAGCGTAACTCTTGTGTAGTTTCATCGTGTACTGAGACTGACAGAAAATAAAAGTTGCCATTTTCTACGCCGATAAACTGCTCTCATTCTGGCGTAATAATCGGAGAACTTTTCTGCAGCAGCGCAATGATATTACACAACTTGACTGGCACAATCAAGTGGTCATGCTGGATATTTCCCTAGCTAGGTACAAGCGGCAACCTTCCACTTTCCATCAGGAAACAAATAATGGAAGTAACAAAAAACTGCAATTCATCGAAAGGCTAGCATCCAAAACAGAGCACGTTTCCATTGACTTCGATGTTAAAATGCGCAACTTTACAACCAAAAAAAAAGGTGTTTATAGCCTGGTACAAAGAAAGATTTTGGTGTATATAACTAATATTACTGTAAGTGACAACTGTGAGGGGGTGATTTTTTTTAATAGCTCATTCTTTTCATATATATTAAGCTTTAAAATCAGCATAATTTAGGGGCGTGGTCACCCTTGAGTGACAAATAGGTCTCTGGCGCATGCTGTCAACATCACCTCAGCTGAAGCCTCTCCTCTTTGCGCTTTTTCAGTTACCCCTGAGTGATGCACAGTCGACACAATGCCCGTGTGGACAAGATGGCGATGGTTAGCTCCGCCCACTTATAGCTTCATTTGTGCTCTTCAGAAACCTACGGGTGACGTCACAGACAGTCTAAAGACTCCAACACACTGGGACGTTTTTCGTTTGCGTTTATCGTCAGCGTTTTACGAGATGTTTTTCAGTGTTCAAACCCAAGCGCTTTTCACTGGCGTCAAGCAGAAGAGTATGCTAAATCACTATTTTGAAGTTAGATGGCGCTGCACAACTATAAGCTTCTGAGCGCTTGAGCGCCTCCAAGTGCTGTTTACTGTAACTTCAGCAGCTCCGTGCACTTGAACAAAAGTGCCGATCTGATTGGTGGAGATGGTTTTGACGCCGCGCGTCAAAACAAAAAAACGAGCATGAGGCGTTTTTTTTTTTAATTGACGCTTTTGCACCTGCCGTTTTGCGCGTTGGTGTGCACGATCACATTGACACCCTTCATTTAGTTACGAGGCGTTAAACGTCGACAGAAAATGCAAGCAAAAAACGTCTCGGTGTGTCTCGGTTATTTTTAGGTGCTGCGTAAAGTTCCTTGTTTATTACGCCAGAATGAGAGTATAGGTCCTCAGCCTGTGTTTCTTCATTAAGTGTCTCTGAAATACTTAATATATAAAATTGGTTTCATGTTGACTTTAAACTACGGTAGCAGGTTACGGAAGTTACGTTTTTTTCAATGATTTTCGAGAACATTAACCACAGGAACATGACAGCACTGCAGTCACAGATTTCATCGTTAAACCTATAATATCATATAATGCTAACAGTTGGTGAAGACGAGATGAATAATATACAGACTGTACTGTTTACCGAGTGCTGTGTTCACCCTTTACATGCATCCGCCCTTCAAGGACCTGAGGAAAATTGCTAAACATATGCATTTGCAGTGCATGTGTATCATAATTAAACAGTTTATCTTTTCCTGCCACAGTACAGTAATGATGACAGTGTTTCAGCTTTAGAAGGCCATTGTCAACATCTGCTATGACACTAAAGTCTCATTGTACAGGCTTTGCTCCAAACCATAGAGAGCTACCTTGCTTTGTACTCCCTACAGTGGCAAATTCTGACTTAAAGTTAGTTTTAATTTTTGTGCACCGGAAATGACCCAGGATTATTAAGACGATGTACAAGAGGCATCATTGTGGGGGCAAAAATATTGCTCAGCTATGTTTTACATTAACAAAAACTTTGTCTGAATTTGCCAGGGGTGTGAATAATTTTGGTCTTGACTGTACATCAAAGTCATCATCTGAGCCAAAATGCAACTTTATTCTGATGTTATGCAGAATTTTTCCCTTATTTGTGAAATATTTTATAAGGAATACTTGTACTTATTTTCACAGTGCATTCTGGGAATGCCTGATCCACGAGGGGTGTGAAGTTTTTACTTTAATGCAAACTTAACTAGATAGGCAGCACACTAGGGTTTGGAACGGAGCACTGGAAAACATAAACAAGACCTGCCTTGATCCCAATAACAACTAGAATTTAATAACAAGGAGAATTGATTTCTATTGTGCATTAAATGCTGATTGATTCTGTAAATATATCCATATGAATCAATTCAAAGCATCAATATTGTGCAAGTATCTTTACACTCCCTGACAAAATTCTTAAGGTCAATCCCAGCTGTAAGAGCAACAAATAATAACTTAACTTCTCGTTGATCATTTAGATAAAGGTGGATTTCTCTGATGAATCATCTGTTGATCTGGATCCCAATCATCACAAATACTGCAGAAGACCTGAACCAGCATGAACTCAAGATTCTCACAGGAATCAGTCAAGTTTGGTGAAGGAAAAGTCATGGTTTTGGGGTTACATTCAGTATGGGGGCGTCGAGAGATCTGCAGAGTGGATGGCAACATCAACAGCCTGAGGTATCAAGACATTTGTGCTGCCCATTACATTACAAACCACAGGAGAATGGACAATTCTCCAGCAGGATAGCGCTCCTCATACTTCAGCCTCCATATCAAAGCTCCTGAAAGCAAAGAACATGCTCCAGGATTGGCCAGCCCAGTCACCAGACATGAACATTATCGAGCATGAAGGACGAGGCATTGAAGATGAATCCAAAGAATCTTGATGAACTCTGGGAGTCCTGCAGGAAGGCTTTCTTTGCCATTCCAGATGACTTTATTAATGCGTGATTTGAGTCAGAGATGTATGGATGCAGTCCTCCAAGCTCATGATGGAGTCTTGACACAATATTCAGTCTTTCTACACTGCAGCAGGACTTTATATTCTATACTGGATTATTTCTGTTCAGTGACAAGACTTTTGTCTAAGTAAAGTCAGACCTTACTGTCCTAATTAAATCATTAAGACATCATCATATTTTATTTTGCTAAAATAAGTGTAATCTAGAGGCCTTCGCCTTTCATATAAGCCACTTCTGATACCAAATGATCAACTAGAAGTCAAGATATTATGGTAACACTTTACAATAAGGTTCATTAGTTAATCCATTTACTAACATGAACTAATCATGAACAATACATGTACAGCATTTATTAATCATAATTGAACATTTACTAATGCATTATTTACATCCAAGTCCATGCTTGTTAACATTAATTAATGCACCATGAGTTAACATGAACTAACAATGAAGAACTGTATTTTAATTAACTAACGTTAACTAACATGAACAAATACAGTAGTAAATGTATTGTTCATTGTTTGTTCATGTTAGTAAATGCATTAATTAACATTAACTAATGAACCTTATTGTAAAGTATGACCGATATTACTTGCTGTTCCTGAAACTTGGATATAAGACTGTTGTCGGGTAGTGTACACTCCTAAAATAAAGATGAAAAATTCTGTATAGTGAATTATTTATTGAAATGTTCTATACTTTAAGCAAAACTGCTTAAAAAAATGTGTTTGGGAGGAACCAACAGTGGTTCTTCTAACGCCATCACTGTAAAAAAAAAACACCTTTATTTCTAAGAGTGTAGCACTCTTTCATTGAGTGCAGGGTTTTGTCTTGTGCAGTCAGAAAAAGTTGAACAAATTGATGAACAGAATGATACACACAACTAAACTAACCAGGCACAAGCAATTTAGTCTGCCCCCTTGTATTTTCAGGAGAGAACCACATACTAAACGCTTCCCGCACATATAAGACAACACCTCCAAACAACATCACAGGACGGTAAATGTACAAGGACTTTACAGATCCAGCAGAACCTGCGACCGTGGGCTGATGTGATCCTCCAGAGACGCCGCTGGGTTGGCTAAGGCTCCTCCGGCTCGGCTGCAGCTTTTCCTGAGTTTTCGGGCTCATCGGAGGGCTGGACTGCACTGCCGGCGTGGTGTTTACCGTGTCTGGAACAAGGACATTTTAGTAAGTAAGAAATAAAACTATTTGTCAATTCAGCAAAACCAAAAAATCACAATAACCAAGTAGGTAGCTATCATCCTTATGTATCTAGCTACTCCTCAACTATAATGATCACATTATTGTTCATTTTATTTAAAAACAAAAAAACGAAATGCAAAACTATAAGAATAACCTTGGTCTGGCGTGCGGTCGGCTGGGTTTTGCCATCTGCTCTTCTGTGAGTCTGGAGCTCACCGGATCTTCCGTTTCAGGACTCGAGTCTCCAGAATCAGGCTTTTTCACTTCATCATCAGACGTGAAGTCGGAGCTGTCAGACGGACTCAGACCTGCTGCGGCCGAGGCTGGCAACTGAATCTTAGGTGATGTTAAAGAAAGAGACGTATATTAGCTGGAAAGCAGCATCAGCTTCTGTTGATCTTATTCTTTCCCGTAAGATCGGGCACAGCCATTATCTAGACATTCATTCATTTTTCATTGATTTATTTTGCTTGATTTTGCAAACTGATGTTTACTTCATTATCCGGGAACACTTTAGTAACAATTAACACCATTTACTTCTGGCCTATTACCTGCCCATTATTACGATATTAATTATCCTAATTAAGATTAGTCTCAATAATAAGTCACACAAAAACAAATTCAACTTGAATGAAACCAAATTCACATGCACAAAATATTAATATATATATATTTATAGCAGTCAAAAACATTAACGTTTTGCAGTGGCCCAGCCAGAGTCCTCACATAAACCAATTGAATATCTGTGGAGGGAGCTAAAAATCAGGGTGATTGCAAAGAGACCCTCCAACCTGAGATAGTTGGAGCTCATTGCTAAAGATGAATAGGCAGAAATACCACTGGAGACATGCAAAAAGCTGCTCAGCAATTATAGGAAGCGTTTGATCACTGTAATAGGCAATAAAGGCTTTTCTATTGATTATTGAGACCGAATGCTCACACAAATTTGGAGTGTAGAGCATGCAGTCTGATGTGCTTGCTTTTTTTTAGGCGTGCATACAATGTTTCATTACTGTGCTAAATTAATTAATAAACAGGGAATACATGCTGGAATAAAAAGTTTTGCAGTGGCCCAGCCAGAGTCCTGACATAAACCCAATTGAGGATATGTGGTGGGAGCTAAAGATCCGGGTGATGGCAAGAAGACCCTCCAACCTGAGTGTTAGAGCTCATCTCTAAAGATGAATGGGCAGAAATATCAATGGAGACACATGCAAAAAGCTGCTCAGCGATTATAGGAAGAGATTGATCACTGTGATAGCCAATAAAGGCTTTTCTATTGTTAATTGAGACCTAATGCTCACTTAAACATTGAGTGAAGAGGTAGAGCATCCAGTGTGATGTGCTTGCTTTTTTCAGGTGTGCATACAATGCTTCATTACCATGCTAGTTTAATTAATAAACAGGGAATACATGCTGGAATAAAGAGTTTTGCAGTGGCCCAGCCAGAGTCCTGACATGAACCCAATTGAAAATCTGTGGAGGGTGCTAATGATCAGGGTGATGGCAGGGAGATTCTCCAACATGAAAGAATTAGAGCTCATTGCTACAGATGAATAGGCAGAAATACCAGCAGAAAGTCACAAGCAAAAAACTGCTCAGTGATTATAGGAAGCGTCTGATCACTGTGAAAGCCAATAAAGGCTTTTCTATTGATTATTGAGACCGAATGCTCACACAAACATGGAGTGAAGAGGTAGCGCATGCAATGTGATACGCTCGGTTTTTTAGGCATGCATACAATGCTTCATTACCATGCTAAATAATTAATAAACAGGAAATACAAGCTGGAATAAAATGTTTTGCAGTGGCCCACCCAGAGTCCTGACATAAAACCAATAGAACATCTGTGAAGAAGGCTAAAGTTCATGGTGATGGCAGGGAGATTCTCCAACATAAAAGAATTAGAGCTCATTGCTAAAGATGAATAGGCAGAAATACCAGCGGAGACACATGCAAAAAACTGCCCAGTGATTATAGGAAGCATTTGTTTACAGTAATAAACAACAAAGGCTTTTCTATTGATTATTGAGACTGAATGCTCACACAAAAATTAGCGCATGCAGTGTAATGCGCTCGCCTTTTTTCAGGCATGGATACAATGCTTCATTACCGTGCTAATTGAATTAATAAATAGCAAATACATGTTGGAATTAAAAATATGAATTGATTATATACCTGGAATGGCTCAGTAATGCCCACTATGGAGCTCGTATTGTTGCTATAGTAACCCAATATAAAATCTCCAGACTCCTTCGGCAGTTCTTCCTCTGTAAAATTCACCTGTAGATTCCGAATAAAAACTCCTCAATAAAGCTCACACAGTTCAACATGTCCGAATACAAATAAATGTCTATTTGTGCAGGTAAATGCATGTATGATTTGCCATTACCTGGTGCTCCTGTCTCAGGAAATCCGATTCTTCCTGCTTGGCCCAAGTATACGCCACATAATCCTTATGGTGCTTAAACCCAACCTGAGAAATTACAAGCACAAATTAATTTATATCTACATATCAACAAAACTCAAGTGACAAAAACATCTAATTATATCTCTGCCATCTATCTCATTCATTCATTTTCCTTCAGCTTAGTCCCTTATTTAACCCACATCCAATTCGCCTATAGCGCATGTGGTTGGACTGAGGGGGGAAACCGGAGCACCCAGAGAAAACCCACGCCAACACAGGGAGAACATGCAAACTCCACACAGAAATGCCACCAGTAACCAGTGACCTTCTTGCTGTGAGGCGACAGTGCTAACCACTGAGTCACAGTCACTGTGCTGCCACCATCTATCTCCTAAATCTTTAAATTCTCAGAACAGATGAAACATTTGAAATAACCTTGTAAATGCCGATCCAGTCCCAGGAGCTTCGAGCAAAGTTGGGCGCCACCTTAAATTTGGCCACTGCATCTGAAATCTCTCTCCATTCATCCTCCACGAAGATTGTCACCAAAGGCATGTCCACCTTATACGGAAACTGCAAGACCAGCACATGTTAAAGAAACACTCAGGGTCATTTTACAGTAACCGTTAAGTTTAACATTTGAGTTTTAGACTTTTTAATCATTTCAGCTGATATTTAGCTTAGCTTAGCATAAATCATTGAACTGGATTAGACCGTTAGCATCTCGCTCAACATTTTTTTTAAAAGAGATTTGATATTTTTACTATTTAAAGCATCTCTAAAGCTGTAAATAAGAGAATAAATAAAGACATTTCTGTAGTTACATCGTGTACTTAAAACAACTAAAAAATAAAAAAATGTATAATAAAATGTTATATTATCAACCCAGGCTCATTCTGAAAACGTACCCCTATATACATTTCTGGAGAGCGCCAAATACATCCCAGAAGCTATATATTTTTTGCAGTTTTTGCGAATCCACCAGAGGCCGCTGTGTACGCTTTTTGAGATCTCAAATTTCTCTCGCGAGTGCCGTTCATGCCTGCGGTTCTCGCGTAAATCCACCAGAGGCCGCTGTCGACTGACTGACTGACTGACCGATTGATCGAATGACCCATCCTCCTCCTTCCCTAAACCCAACTGACAGTTTTCAAAAGCAATTCAAAAAAGAAAAGCCCTCGTCTGATTTTTACCATGTTTTTTAGATTTTACTTCCTTCTCACCCTGTTATTTAGTTGTTTATTTAATTCTCTAGCTTTTGTATTTGTCTTTCCCGCTTTTAGGAACTGTTCTTCGCCAAACTCGAAGCCTGTCGTTGTGTTCAACTCTTCTCTGCGACGTACATGGCAAGCTACTGGACAAACTGGTAACAGCGGGAAAGCCGTCCATACGGTGGTTAGCGGACAGCTGGTAAGCGCAAAAAGAAACAGCATCATACTGCCCCCTAGTGTTCATACCTCTGGCTACATCATTTACGATCTCCAGAAACGTATATAGGACTACGTTTTCAGAATCAGCCTGTGTTGAATATTATTGTTCCTGCTACAGCCATGGTACGGCAGTAAAGTTTCTTGATTATTACGCCAGAATGAGAGTATAGTTCCTCCAGCCATATCAGCCTCATATTTTTACATATAAAAATAGCAACTTTTCATTTTCTGTCAGTCTTCGTATGCGATGTAACTGCAGAAGAGTTGAGCTTTAAATAGGAAATTCTTGGAACATTTTAAGCGAGATGCTAATGGTCTAATCCGATTCAATAATCTATGCTAAGCTAAGACTGTTTTAAAAAAGTCAAAATTATTCACCCTCATGTGAATTATTTTTTCAAATATTTCCCAAATGACTAACAAATTCAGGAATTTTTCAAAGTATTTCCTATAATATTCTTTCCTCTGGAGAAAGTCTAATTTGTTTTATTTTAGCTAGAATAAAAGCAGTTCTTAATTTTTTTTAAACCACTTGAAGGCTAATATTATTAGCCCCCTTAAGCAATATTTTTAATTGTCTTCAGAACAAACCACTGTTATACAATGACTTGCCTAAAAACCCTAATTAACCTAGTTAAGCCTCTAAATGTCACTTTAAGCAGAATACTAGTATCTTCAAAAATATCTAGTCAAATAATATGTGCTGTCATCATGACAAAGATACCAAGAAAAATATTCAGGAGGGCGAATAATTCTGACTTCAGCTGTACATGTAGCCTCAGATATTGTGTTTACCTGTAGAGTGAAGACAGAGGAGACAGGCTTGTGGTCACTGACGGTGTACTCCATGTGACTGCGGTAAAAATGCTGTGAAACGCGAGTTCCACTGGTCAGACCTGATAAAGAGCTGCGTTTGGATGTGCTGTTGCTGACCTGAGCCATCGGCCGCAAGCGCCACAGGATACGATCAGTCCAGGCTGGCATACGCTTTTTACCACTAAGAAAGATGAGGATTAACTAGAGGGGATAGATCACTCAAAAAATGACAATTTACTTACTATTTACACATCTTCAAGTAGTTATACACAATTGACAGTTTCGACGGCTTTAAATAATAATATCTACTCCCTAAATCTCCACTGAATCCTTATTTACTTCCTCTTCACTTGTTCTGAATCTGTTTTGAGTCTCTTTCTTTTGTTGAACAAAACAGAAGATATTTTGAAGACACCTGTAACCACTGTCTTCCATAGCATTCTTCCAGCAATATAACGCACCATGTCGTAAAGCGTGAATCATCTCAGACTGGTTTCTTGAACATGACAATGAGTTCACTGTACTCAAATGGCCTCCACAGTCACCAGCTCTCAATCCAATAGAGCACCTTTGGGATGTGGTGGAACGGGAGATTGGCATCATGGATGTGCAGCCGACAAATCTGCAGCAACTGCGTGATGCTATCATGTCAATATGGAGCAAAATCTCTGAGGGATATTTCCAGTATCTTGTTGAATCTCTGCCACAAATGATTAAGGCAGTTCTGAAGTTAAAAGGGGGGCCAGCCAGGAAAAGTGAGGTGTACCTAATAAAGTGGCCGGTGAGTGAAAATCTATAACTCAAAGATCTAAATGAACTTCGCTATTTTACCTGGTATCATATGTGTCTGTCCCCACATCAAACTTATAGGTGGGAGGGAATTTAAGCGGCCCTTCGTGGAAACCTTCCAGCACCGTCTCACTGTCTTTGGCGATATTCAACTGCAGGAGGAGGAAAGAGGACAAACATACAGCAAAATTATTAGCCCCCTGTGAAATTTTAATTATTCTTCAAATATTTTCCAAGTGATGTTTAACAGAGAAAGAGATTTTTCCACAGTACTTCCTATAATATTTTACTTCTTTTGGAGAAAGTCTTATTTGTTTTAGTTTGGCTGGAATCAGTGAACTATTTTCGAGAGGATCACGTGCTTATGATTGAACACGGCTGGTCTTGCATTAGCTATGTATGATTAACCAATCAGACGATTCCTAACCCACTATAAACACCCAAGGTTTCTCACTACAGTCATCTTCGATTTGAAGAATCCCCCCCTTCCACTCCTACTTCTCCACCTTCACAGGGCGGCACGGCGGCCCAGTGGCTGGCACTGTTGCATCGCAGCTGGAAGTCACCGGTTCTAGTCCTTTATCAGGACGGCTGTCGTTTCTGTGTAATCATTTTAGGCCCCGTTTACACTAGTGCGTTTTAGTTTTAAAACGGTGTTGTAGAATGAAAACGATCCGCGTCCACACTCGCGTTTTACCCAGCGTTTCTGAACAGCTCTCCGTCCACACCAAAACGCTGAAAACGCACATCACGTGACCACACACACACTCTCGGGCAAGCGCTCCAGCATTTCTACCCAGATGAGAGCTCTGCTTGTCGGACTGCTGATCAAGCATCTCTAGCTGGATCTAATCTCACTATATTTGCTAAACGTGATATTTCATTCATCTTGTTGTCTTTATCTAACGACATATTCCCTGACGTTGGTCATTGGAATCTATTAAGTTATTTGTTCACGGGTAACATGTTTTGGTTAAGCGCAAAGATAAGTTAATGATTAATCCAGGTACATTGACTGATCGCTTGCCTTTATTTCCTACAATGTATAAACTTATTGTATGTTATACTTTTATAATTATCGATTATTAAAACTGATATTCAGCAAAAGAGAGGGTGCGTTTCGTATTTTCACTGAAATTGAAAGGAGGCAGTTGTTATCGGCTCCGTTTTGTTATAAATATCCACACAGTGAAGATGACGCTCATATATGCAGCACGGCGCCTCAACATTTCTGCTGTCTGTTAAGTTTTCTAATATTAAAATGAAAATAGGCAGTTCCTTAAATCATGTTTACATTTTATTGTTGAGAAAGTGAAACAACGTAGCCAGGGTGATGTGAATGAAGTTATAAAGTACACTGTTCCCTTTGAAGATTTACCCGTGTCCTCGGTATGTTTTCCATATCAACCTGAGAAGGGGGAGACTGCAGCCTTGATCAAACTTGCGAAGTCTTAACTTACAAGAAGAGGATGCGAGACTGAACTGTGTGTGGGATACTTAATATTGAGGAAACGCCCCAATCAGAGAGGCGAACGTTTGCAGCCCCGCCTCCGTTTTCAGATGTCTCCGTCTTTCCATCATCCACACTGAGACGGAGCAGCAGCGTTTCAGAATGAAAACGGCCTCTCCAGCGTTTTCAAAAAGCTCTGTTTTCGGCGCTCGAGAACTCCGCGTAGTGTGGACGGATGGCGTAACCGTAGCAAAACTTATGCGTTTTCAAACTAAAACGCATTAGTGTAAACGGGGCCTTAGTCATCAGCTCTTATCAAGGGGGAGTTGTCAAGATCTACCTAAGCTAGGAGCACCCCTAACGGGAGGGAGCCCAGGGCTCAAGGGCCTTGTGGGCTCAGGGCTCTCTACCGGGACAGCATGCCAAACTTGCTCATAATCAATCATCAGCTAAGTGTGAACTCTTGAAAAGTAGTTAATGTGTATTTTTAAGGTCAATATTTTTATCCACCCTAAGATTCCTTTGTTTCTAATGTCTACAGAATAAACCACAGTTGTTCAGTGACTTGCCTAGTTAACCTAGTTAAGCCTTTAAATGCCACTTTAAGCTGAATCCTGTGTCTTGAAAAAGATCTAGTCAAATATGATGTGCTGTCCTCATGGCGGCACACTCTTTTTGTTTGAAAAAGAGTTCAAATTTCACAGGAGGGTGAATAATTTTACCTTAAACTTTACATACAGTGCGAGTATAAATATGCCTATATTGACTAATCATACGAGTTTTTTTAAAAATGCAAATATTTAAACAAAAAGGTACCTAAAAACATAAGCAGCGCTCCTTCCTCAATGACATTTGACATGTGCACAATATTGACAGATGAGTGTTATCTGTAGAAATGTGTGATTTGACATTAACGGCGGGTGTGTTTGGTGTTTGGCTGAGTGTGTAATGGCCACATGCCCGTCTCACCTGGTCTTTTTCCCATAATACGGACAGCTTGTTATTGTCGATGGCTCCTTTCACAACTTGCATTTCCAGATCCTCGATTCGGAAGTTCAGGTCTCCGAACCAGAAAACCACACTGCAAAAATACGTCCACGAGTTACATCATATCCTTTCAAAGATCATGCTGTCATCACAATTTAAATTCAATACAAGTTTCATAATCATAATAATAATAATCATATTAGTTAATACAGGGTATCCGTGTTGTCTTAATAAGTATTAAAAGTTGATAAGTCAATGTAGAGAAGTTTAAGGCCCTTAAAAAGTATTAAAAAGCTTAAATGCTATTTTGCAAGGTATTAAAGGGCACATAGGTTACCACTTTTTATATTTATTATAAGTCTTTTGTGTCCCCAGAATGTGTCTGTAAAATTTCAACTCAAAACACCTATCAGAGTATTGATTATAGCTGTTTGAAGTGTCTGTATTATAGCTGGGAAAAGGTTGTTGCTGTTTCTTTGCACTGGGCCTTTAAGGCGAGTCAACCCTGCCCACCGTTCCCACGTGCCTGTCAGCAGCATGCCTCAATCGCCGCCCTCAGGAAGCAGATCTCACGTAACGTTTGTGAGAAATACTACAGTAAGAACTTTACCAATCAGTATTTGATGCATTTTTTGTGGAGTTGCAACAATGAGTTCACGCACACACAGCGCAGACACACACACACACACACACACAGCACAGACACGTAGTGCAGACACACACACACATACATGGTGTAGACACACACACACACATAGCACAGATACGTAGCGCAGACACACACACACATACATAGCGTAGACACGCAGAAATACTCACACTAACAAACACATACACAGAACAGACACTTAGCGCAGACACACAAACACAAATACATAGCGTAGACACGCAGACACACACACACACACACACACATACATAGCGCAGAAACACACACAGAGAGACAGTGAGAGAGACACGTGGCTGTGCTGATGAAGTGAATCTGAAGTGAATGGCTGTTCTTCATTACACACGTGCACACGTTTTAAAACAAGTAAAACATTGTAAAACTCACTCTTGATCGCGTCTGATGATGATTGATGATCCTAGCAAACTGAACAGACCTTTTATTCCCGGTTGCTTTGCGCCCGTCCTGTCTTGTTGATATGATTACTTCCATTACTACGGAGACATGTTAATGCGCGCAGCTGTCAATCGATAATGGTGGGCGGGGGGACCGCACTCCTACGTCAAGTTCCGGTCGATCTGAAAACCGCTTCGATTGGTCCACCGTTTATATGTTGTTAAATAAAATAAAAAAAGGACTGTGTGTGTTTATATTACCCCAATATGACAGAATATACACTATACTTGTACACATGTATGTCCAAACAGCTTTAAAAATAGATTTTTCACCATAAGTGCCCTTTAAATTTTACATAATTTTTATTATGCAATGTATGCTAAAGTCAGCCTGAATTAAATCTGCGGATATCAGGATGCTGTGTTGTTTATGAAATCAATAATCTCCTGCTAGATTTGTCATCATGCTGCTTTGTTTACTGCAGTACATCATTATTTCTGCAGTTCTACAGGCGCCAACCTGCTGAATTAGCTAGATTTAATAGATTTGTATTCAGTGTATGAATAATGTTTTAGTTTTGGATTCATTTCGTACATTAATATTTAGTAAATGTACTGTCAGTTAAAATCTCGCCAGTGTTTCTGGTTGAAAAGTGCTTATGAGGTATTAAAATGTGTGGAAAGAGTAGAGATGCACCGATCCTGATACTTGGATCGGATATCTGTTTGATAGCGCATATTTTAGCTGGATTGTATATCGGCTAGCTAGTACCAATCCTAATCCGATCTTGCGTGTGCGCTATATTCTCTGTAATTTATAAGCCAACAAAAGCCATGAAGGTAGCCTATTATAAGGCACTAGAAAGTTGTCATGTAGGCTACTATTTCCCAAATGTTCTAAAGCCATTTGATAGCTTAATGTGAACCAGAAAACCAAACTGCAAAAATACGTCCCAAGTTACATGGTATCTTTTCAAAGATCATGCTGTCATCACAACTCAAATTCAATACAAGTTTCATTCATTCATTTTCTTGTCGGCTTAGTCCCTTTATTAACCTGGGGTCGCCACAGTGGAATGAGCCGCCAACTTATCCAGCAAGTTTTTTACGCAGCGGATGCCCTTCCAGCCGCAACCCATCTCTGGGAAAAAATTCAATACGTTTCATAATCATATAATCATAATAATAGTTAATACAGGGTGTCCGTGGGGTCTTAAATTATTAAAAGTTAATACATCAATGTAGAGAAGTTTAAGACCTTTAAAAAGTATTAAAAGTCTTAAATGCTGTTTTGCAAGAAGTTAAATCTTACATCATTTTGATCATGCAATGTATGCTAAAGTTAGCCTGAATTAAATCTGCGGATATCAGGATGCTGTGTAGTTTATGATATCAATAAACTCCTGCTAGATTTGTCATCATGCTGCTTTGTTTACTGCAGTACATCATTATTTCTGCAGTTCTACAGGCGCCAACCTGCTGAATTAGCTAGATTTAATAGATTTGTATTCAGTGTATGAATAATGTTTTAGTTTTGGATTCATTTCGTACATTAATATTTAGTAAATGTACTGTCAGTTAAAATCTCGCCAGTGTTTCTGGTTGAAAAGTGCTTATGAGGTATTAAAATGTGTGGAAAGAGTAGAGATGCACCGATCCTGATACTTGGATCGGATGTCGGTTAGATAGCGCATATTTTAGCTGGATTGGGTATCGGCCGGATGGTACAGATCCAAATCCGATCTTGCACGTGAGCTATATTCTCTTCAATTTTTAAGCCATGAACGTAGCCTATTATAAGGTGCTGAAAAGATGTCATGTAGGCTACTATAGCCATTCCATAGTTTAATGTGAAGCACAGATGAATAATCAATTGCTTAAACTCATGTTCACTTCAGCATCAGCTTCACCATTCATTCACAATTTAAGCTGCGTGACGCGTTCGTTTATGACAACACAAAATACTTTCGGTAAACATTTTGGTATCGGGATCAGAACGGTTCCAAAAAAAAGTCATCGGTGCATCTCTAGGAAAGAGTCTTAAAAAAGGTCTTAAGAGGCATTGCATTTCACTCTGATTTCCGTATACACTGTAATAACTCTACATCACTTTTAAAAACCTGATCTCATGAAAAAACACATGACAACACCTTTTAAGATGACATTATAAGATGACATATAATCATGTTCTTATTATAATAATTACAGTTAAATATGGGGTGGCACGGTGGCTCGGTGGTTAGCACTGTATCCTCACAGCAAGAAGGTCACTGGTTTGAGTCCCAACTAGGTTAGTTGGCAATTCAGTGTGGAGTGTGCATGTTCTCCCCGTGTTGGCGTGGGTTTCCTCCAGGTGCTCCGGTTTCCCCCACAGTCCAAACACATGCGCTATAGGGGAACTGAATAAAGTAAATTGGCCGTAGGGCGAAGCAGTGTCGCAGTAGGTAGTGCTGTCGCCTCACAGCAAGAAGGTCGCTGGTTCGAGCCTCGGCTCAGTTGGCGTTTCTGTGTGGAGTTTGCATGTTCTCTCTGCGTTTTCCCACCTGGGTTTCCTCCGGGTGCTCCGGTTTCCCCCACAGTCCAAAGACATGCGGTACAGGTGAATTGGGCAGGCTAAATTGTCCGTAGTGTTTGAGTGTGTGTGTGGATGTTTCCCAGAGATGGGTTGCGGCTGGAAGTTGGCAGTTCATTCCGCTGTGGCGACCCCGGATTAATAAAGGGACTAAGCCGACAAGAAAATGAATGAATGAATGACTAATGAATAAACCTGACCCACATTCTAACTAGTAGTACATTAATTAATAGCACCCAGTAGTTATTAGTTAAACTAATTCATGTATGCATATATCATCATATATATATATATATATTTGGTCTTATTAATGGTAATATGCAGTTAATACATTTTTAATGCAAATTATTTATTTATTTTTTCGTTAAATGAGTTGATGGTGTGTTGGCTCACGACTTCAGAGAAAACAGAACCACTGTCCATGGACAAACTTTAATACAACAGCGCCATCTGCTGGTGACAAACATCATTATGAAGTATGATATTGTGTTTATACTGTGTGTGTGTGTGTACATATGTGTGTGTGCGTGTCTCACTCGTGGTCCAGGACACCGGTTGCAGCCTGTCCGTCAAACTGTTGCTGCTGCAGGATGCTCTCGAAGTCCTCCATGCGCTGCTCTGTGTTCTCCATGTGTGCGGGCAGATGGCAGTTCAAGAAGCAGATTGAGTGACCAAACACAGTCATCCGCGCACTGACGCCTCCTTTATTCCCCTGCACACAGTCAACACGCCGGAAACTTCATTAACATAGACTTCCCCATTAAACAAGAAACACTTTTGCAATCTTTTTTTATCTTATTTAAGAGAAGACGTGCAGGAAAACGGTGCTCTAGTTACTGTCTTCATGTCATGCTGTGAAAGATCATCACTGAAAGCTCACTAATAATAAAAGACAAATAAAATATGGGTGACATGGTGGATTAGTGGTTAGCACTGTCGCCTCACAGCAAGAAGGTCACTGGTTTGAGTCCCGGCTGAGCCAGTTGGCATTTCTATGTGGAGTTTGCATGTTCTCCCCGTGTTGGCGTGGGTTTCCTCCGGGCGCTCCAGTTTCCCCCACAGTCCAAACACATGCGCTATAGGTGAACTGAATAAGCTAAATTGGTTGTAGTGTATGAGTGTGTGTGGGTGTTTCCAGCCTAGGCTGGTTGGCTGGTTTTAGCTGGTCGACCAGGCTGGTTTTAGAGGGGTTTTGGCAATTTCCAGGCTGGTTTCCAGCCATATCCAGCCTGGTCTTAGCTGGTCAGGCTGGAAAATGACGAGCTAAAACCAGCTTGACCAGCCTGGTTTAAGCTGGACATGGCTGGTATTGGCTGGGCTAGGCTCGTCAAGCTGGTTTTAGCTGGTCATCTCCCAGCCTGACCAGCTAGGACCAGGCTTGAAATGGCTGGAAACCAGCCTGGAAATGGCCGAAACCCCTCTAAAACCAGCCTGGTTGACCAGCTAAAACCAGCCAACCAGCCTAGGCTGGTTTAAGCTGTTTTTTTCAGTAGGGTTTTCACATTTTAATTAAAGATTACAAGGACAAACTAATATTTTTCTCTTAATGACATGGATCGTTCACTGCAAAACTAGCAATGTGAGCTAACAAAATCAATATGCTTAGTTTTGATTGCTTAGTTTTGTTCATATGTACTTTAAAGATATAACTATCTAACATAACATAAAATGAGAGCTCAATTTTGGCGGAAATGTGTGTGATGTACAAGTGAATGTATATATTTAAGGGGTAAATCTGCTGATTTCTCTAGTAAAGTCTGCAGGTAAAGCGAGCAGAACAGAAATGGTGATTAATCAAAACATTGTCCAGGTGTTTGGTAACCATGGCGATCAGTCATTAGAACCGAGACCTCTGAGTGCTCAAGCATGCTTATTATCAGCTGAAGTGAAACGCTTTAGTGTATCATCTGCAAAATACACGCTGAAATACATCGACTGTCAGTTATCAAAAAACTAAAATGCATATTTTTGTAAAATGTTAGTGCTGAATTTGTGAACTGCGAGGTCCTGGAACAGATCTGAAGAGGAAGAGGTGTCGTGCACGAAAGTGGAGACCCTTGGGGGGAAGGCTTGTGTTGGATGGCGGAGGGGTGGATGGGAAGGACGAAAGTGAAGAGGGTTAGGAGTCCCGGAAGAAACTGAAAGTGAACATCTGAAGAGGGAGAATGGAAAGTGAGGAGGATGATCGATAAAATCAGGTGCCGGACGATCTGTGCTACCTCCTCAGAATGTGCTACCGGTAGCTCAATCTGTCATATTCCAGCTAAAAAAAACAGGGGTTATGCATTTTGTCAGCTACAAATCGGAATGAACTACCACTCTAATAAACGTATTAAATATAAAACGAATGAAATCAAAAACGTTGAAGCAGTGGCGCAGTAAGTAGCGCTGTCGCCTCACAGCAAGAAGGTCGCTGGTTCGAGCCTCGGCTCATTTGGTGTTTCTGTGTGGAGTTTGCATGTTCTCTCTGCGTTCGCGTGGGTTTCCTCCGGGTGCTCCGGTTTCCCCCACAGTCCAAAGGCAAGTGGTACAGGTGAATTGGGCAGGCTAAATTGTCCGTAGTGTGTGAATGTGTGTGTGGAGGTTTCCCCGAGATGGGTTGCGGCTGGAATGGCATCCGCTGCATAAAAACTTGCTGTATAAGTTAGCGGTTCATTCCGCTGTGGCGACCCCGGATTAATAAAGGGACTAAGCCGACAAGAAAATGAATAGATGAAATAAAAAAACTAAAACTGAAGGCAGTAGTTTACTCTGATAGACATTTGAAGCTGCTACGCCTTTTTCTACATTGTTCAATAGAGCAGTAGTTAAAAAAGGATCCAAATCCCTCCCATTTCGAGGCCGACCACAACGTGGTTTTAAGGAAATTTAAAGAAAGAGACTTGCTGTGTTTATATCACCCCAATGAGGCTGTGGACACACTATACATACACACAGATCTGTGCAAACAGAAAGATGATTTTCATCATATGTGTCCTCCAACCAGTTAAACTCTGCTGCTATTTGGGGATTTGCGCCTGGATTTTGCCTACCCAAATTTAAAAGCTTCCCAAATCCACATGCAGAGGTGTAAACGCAAAAAGTTGGCATCATTTTAAAGAAAACCCTTTGAATTTCATAAAACACTATTGAAAGTGTTTAAAATAATAATAATAATAATAATAATAATGGTATATGCTGTCTTTATTATAATGAACACCTAAAAAAAGAGGCGCTTTTTGTATTTTTTTTTATAAACTCAGATTTGAAAGTGTATCTTTTAGGTTCTGTGTGGTCTCGCGTGCTGTAATTAATGTTGGTGGTTCCTGCACAAGTCTGTAATCATAGGAAAAAAGACAAATGTCTCCACCATAATCTATGCAGAAGTTATTGTATTCCAACTGATGAGAGGTGCTGTACAAGCCACAGGGACCGATAATTGTTTTCATATTTCACTATTCTTTTGTTTGATCAAACATAATTCACTGTGTTTGGACCACATCAGACATATAAAAGGATTACTTATGCACATCACCTCAAAAACAGAGGAGAATGGCCCTGAAGTGCACAGCGTAAGGTAGGAGTAAGAGATGACAGCTGTCTGTGCTATCTGCGGCTGCTTATTGATCATAAATGTATTGTTTTCACTTCTGCTCCATGGAAACACCGAGATTCATTCGGCAACTGTTTGACATGTGAATATAATTCAGTAAAAATAATGCAAGAACCGTATGAGCACCGGCAAGAGCTTTCATTTGAGCTATAACTTGTACATGTGTCATATGAAAAATATGAAAATTAACCAATGTAAAATACCCAGCTCGGGTATCCAAAATACTGTGTATTTAAGTGTAAATAACTTTAGTACAGTAGAATAAAAACCAAAGTGATGCATATGTGCATAAAATATAGATTCTACACTTTCAAACAAGACCACTAAAGGGGTCTGGTGTAATGCTAGCCCTTTAAATCTTAAAGCAAAAGTTGATGACGTCACAGACCCGGGAGTTTAACTGGCTAAAGTGACATTTAAAGGCGTAACTAGGTTAATTAGGCAGGTTAGGGTAATAATGCAAGTCATTGTATAACAGCAGTTTGTTATGTAGAAGCTGTAAAACAAATATTGCTTAAGAGGACTAATAATATTTGACCTTAAAATGGATTTTAAAAAATTAAAAACTGCTTTTATTCTAGAAAAAATAAAGCAAATAAGACTTAAAAAATATTATAGGAAATACTGTGAAAAATTCCTGAATCTGTTCAACATCATTTAGGAAAAATTTGAAAAAGAAAACCACATAAGAGCGAATAATTCTGACTGTAAAGAGTTTTTATCAGATAAAAATGTGCATGCTTTCAATACCCCAAGGGTTTGTAATCAAACTGTATAGAGACTACAAAGTAAAGTAAGTTTACGCTCGATTAAATCAGATAATTGTGACTTCTTAACTTATTAACACCCAGAAGAAAAACAGTCTGGTTTCCGTAGTCCAATCATTCACTAAAACCTGACACTCTTACAGCCGTGAGAGCTGAGTTTATCATTATGACGGCTTTATTTTGTATTAATCAGGTGTTCAGCGGCACATTATTAATATTTCATCAACACACTGCATGAGATGTTTAACAGGACGCCATGAACTGGCTCCTGTGTGACCTTTCAAATCTGCAAATGAGGATTCACTCATTCATTTTCCTTCAGCTTAGTCCCTTATTTTTTAGGGGTCGCCACAATGGAATGAACCATCAACTATTCCAGCATATGTTTTACACAGCGGATGCCTTTCCAGCTGCAACCCAGTACTGGGAAACATCCATACACATTCATTCACACTCATACACTACTGACAATTTAGCCTACCCAATTCCCCTATAGTGCATGTGTTTGGACTGTGGGGGAAACCGGAGGCAACCCACACCAACATTGGGAGAACATGCAAACTTCATACAGAAATGCCAACTGACCCAGCCGAGACTCGAACCAGTGACCTTATTTCAGTGAGGCGATAGTGCTAACCACTGAGCCACCTTCTAATTGCCGTTATCAGTCTCACACTATTTTCTGAAAGTCTTGATAACACTATCATTGAGTTTTTCTTTTGTTATTGGAGCAAACGCAAAACACTTGTCCTCTCCTGTTCACTGTGCTCTCAGTTTACCCGACTATGACGACATCTGCTGGTTAGAAACCTGTGAAATGTGAAAAGTGTCCATCCGGGATTTCAGCAAGCGAGAGTTTCCTCCTGAAGTAAGGCTGTGTCTGTGAGCAGAGATATACTGAAACTCACCCAGATCCCCCCGAGGCCGGTGCGAGTGGTCTGTGTCTGAATCCCCCTCAGGAACGGCAGATGAAAATATTTGGCAAAGACGAGCAGCAACATTCCCTGCATCCTCTGAGACGTGGCCTGCAGAAGACACACATAAACACACACACAGTCAACCGGAAGAAATGGATATTCCTTGAGCAGAAAGTCTCTATGGTGTGTGTGTTTGTACCTCGTATTCCTAACATTGTGGGGACCGAATGTCCCCACAAGTATAGCAATACCAGTACATTTTGACGTTGTGGGAACATTGTTCTGGTTCCCATGAGGAAAACAGCTCATAAATCACGTTATTTTGAAAATGATCAAATGTTAAACCCAAAAAGGTTCTGATTTAGGGGTGGAGGGAGAGAATATACAGTCTGTATAGTATAAAAATCATTACGACTATGGGAAGTCCCAATGAAGACAGCTGTGCAATTGTGTGTGCGTGTGTGTGAATGAAGCTGAAATAAACGTTAAGTCAATACTTAGATGACAAATTAAGTAAATGTTACAGAAAAAAATGCAATTGATAAAATATATATATATATATATATACACACACACACTCTCCGGCCACTTTATTAGGTACACCTTTATACTACTGGGTTGGACCCCCTTTTGCCTTCAGAACTGCCTTAATCCTTCATGGTATAGATTTAACAAGCTACTGGAAATATCCCTCAGAGATTTTGCTCCATATTGATATGATAGCATCACGCAGTTGCTGCTGATTTGTCGGCTGCACATCCATGATGCCAATCTCCTGCTCCACCAGATCCCAAAGGTGCTCTATTGGATTGAGAGCTGGTGACTGTGGAGGCCATTTGAGTACAGTGAACTCATTGTCATGTTCAAGAAACAAGTCTGAGATGATTCACGCTTTACAACATGGTGCATTATATTGCTGGAAGTAGCCATTAAAAGATGAGTACACTGTGCTCATAAAGGGATGGACATGGTCAGCAACAATACTCAGGTAGGCTGTGGCATTGGCACGATGCTCTATTGGTACTAATGGGCCCAAAGTGTGCCAAGAAAATCTCCCCCACACCATTACACCACCACCACCAGCCTGAACCATTGATACAAGGCAGGATGGATCCATGCTTTCATGTGGTTGATGCCAAATTCTGACCCGACCATCTGAATGATGCAGCAGAAATGGAGACTCATCAGAGCAGCAACGTTTCTCCAATCTGCTATTGTCCAGTTTTGGTGAGCCTGTGTGCCATGCTACTGTCAAAGTCACTTAAATCCCCTTTCTTCCCCATTCTGATGCTCAGCTTGAACTGCAGCAGATCGTCTTGACCATGTCTACACGCCGAAATGCATTGAGTTGCTGCCATGTGATTGGCTGATTAGAAATTTGTGTTAACGAGCAGTTGGACAGGTGTACCTAATTAAGTGGCCGGTGAGTGTATATATATATATATATATAATAAAACAATTCATTGTAAATGATCCTAAAACAGCACTGCACTGTTCAAAATAGTCTTTCTGTGCTTACAGAATCTCTTATTAAGTGACTTGAACACATTTAGTTTCCTTTCAGTACAAAACTAACTACTAGATACAAAACTAACAGATTCAAATGAACAGTAATTAAAATAAATAAAAACATAAAACTGAAAATATGATCAAAATCTAGAAGAGTTCATGAGAGTGAATGTGTCTGTAAAGCGCTGAGCTCCACTGCACTTCCCCTGGCAGTGTGATTAATTAAGCAGAATGTGATTTCAACAGCCCTGCAGACACACACACACACACACACACACACACACACACACACACACAAACAACACCAGTCGAACGCTCAGCCTGCACTATACACTGTACTCAGAGTCTGATAATAATACACGGCTGAGTATAATACCACATCATGTGTCATACACCACACTGAGCTTATTTCTGCACAAGGGAAATACAGTACTGCTGCACAGATGAAGGAGGACAGAGAACACACGACAGAGACAAAGACCAGCAGAGAGATCCTCAAACACACACACACACACACACACTCACTCACTCACTGTTATATAACATCACCCTTAAGCTGCAATGACAACTCTATGAGTGCGCCTCTGTTTCTTTGTGTGTTTGTCTTTGTGTGTCTCTGCGTGTGTGTCTGTTTTTATGTGTGTCTGCTTCTTTATGTCTCTGTGTGTGTGTGTGTGTGTGTGTGTGTGTGTGTGTGTGTCTGTGAAGCTACTGTGTACAGCCATTTTCAGATCTCTCCAGAGATGTTCAATAGGATTTAGGTCTGGGCTGTGGCCGGGCCACTTCAGGACATTCACCAAATCGTTGTGAAGCCACTCCACTGATTTTTTGCGGTGTGCTTTAGGTCATTGTCCCAATGGAAGATGAACCGTCGCCCTGGTCTGAGGTCAAGAGCGCTCTGAAGCAGGTCTTCATTCAGGATGTCTCTGTACATTGCTGCATTCATCTTTCCCTCTATCCTGACGAGTCTTCCAGTTCCTGCTGCTGAAACACATCCCCACAGCATGATGCCTCCACCATGCTTCACTGTAGGGAGGTTATTAGCCTGGTGATGAGCGCTGCCTGCTTTTCTCCAACCGTAACACCTGGCATTCACTCCAAAGAGTTCAATTTTAGTCTAATCAGATCAGAGTTTAGTTTCTTATGGTCCGAGAGTCCTTCAGATGACTTTTGGTAAACTCCAGGCAGGGAGCAGACTCTTACCATACAGGCCTGATTGGTGGATTGCTGCACAGATGGTTGTCCTTCTATAAGGTTTTTCTCTCTCCACAGAAGAACGCTGGAGCTCAGACAGTGACCATCAGGTTATTGATCACCACCCTGACTAAGGCCCGTCTCACCCGATCACTCAGCTTAGATGGCTGGCCAGCTCTTGGAAGAGTCGTGGTGGTCAAACATCTTCCACTTACGAATGATGGAGGCCGCTGTGCTCATTGGAACTTTCAGAGCAGCAGAAATGTTTCTGTAACCTTCCCCAGCCTTGTGCCTCAAGACAATCCTGTCTTTGAGGTCTACAGACAGTCCCTTTGTCTTCATGCTTGGTTTGTGCTTTGACATGCACTGTCAACCCTGGGACCTTATATAGACAGGTGTAGCCTTTTCAAATCATGTCCAATCAGCTGAATTGACCACAGGTGAACTCCAATTCAGCTGAAACATCTCAGGAATGATCAGTGGAAACTAAAGGTGCTTTCACACCTACACTTTTGTTTCGGAACGTGTCTCGTTTGCCCAGTTAGCGCGGTTCGTTTGGCATATGTGAACAGGGCAATCGCGTTCTGTTCCGCGCCAAAGTAATCGCTCCGAGATCGCTTGAATGAGGTGGTCTCGGCTCGATTGAAACGAACCCTGGAGCGGATCGATTGCAGTGAGAAAGCGATCCGATCCGAGCGCGGTTATATCACAGTGTTTTATGGATATGTAATAGGCAAACGGCTATATGAAGAGAGAATTATGAGTATGGCGGGAAGTTTCGCGAGTCTCCGGATGCCCGCAAACGAGTGATGATCTCCCGGTATTCTTGCGTCTCCCTCCGGTCCTCAAATAAGCATCATTGCGCACCCTTCTCACCCCTCCCCACCGCATCTCTCCTCAGACACGCCGCGCGCGCACCCTGTCAATCACCACCAAACCACCACCTCTCCTGACAGCTGAGCGGGACACTGCAAAATAAACCCTGACACTCTGACCAATGTGAGGAGAGTTTACTCGCACGTGACTTGTTTTAGCTCTTTTGATCTGTTTAGAAACTTTGCAGTGTGAAAGCGAACCGCTCCAAGAGCAAAGAGCAACAATGTAACAATTGTAATCTCTGTTTCGGAACAACTGAATCGATTCACAGGTGTGAAAGCACCCTAAATGGACCTGAGCTCAATTTAGAGCCTCAGAAAAGGCAGTGAACACTGATCTACATGTGATTATTCAGCTTTTTTTATACTCAATAAACTTGCAACAATTTCAAAAACTCAAAACTCTTTTTTTCACATTGTCATTATGGGGGATTGTGTGTAGAATGTTGAGGAAATCAATGCATTAAACCCATTTTGGAATAAGGCTGTAACATAAACAAATGTGGAAAAAGTGAAGCGCTATCAGTGCTGTCCGGATGCACTGTGTCTCTGTGTGTGTGCGCCTGTGTATTTGTACGTTTGTGTATGTCTATGTGTGTGACTCCATGCATGTGTGTTTATGTGTGCCTCAGTGTCTGTGTGTCTCTCTGTTTGTGTATTTGTGTGTGTGTCTGTGTGTGTGTGTGTGTATCTGTGTGTCTCTGCATCTATGTGTGTGTCTCTGTGTGAGCGTTACTGACCAGCACATAACCGAAGGGGCTGAGAGCGTCCATGCAGACTTCGCTCCACTGGTCAGTGAAAAGAACATCTTTGAGTCGTTTGTTGATCATTGAGTTCACTTCCTGTAGGCTGAGAGAGAGAGAGAGAGAGAGAGAGAAGAGAAATAAATCTGAAACTCCACACAGAGCCGTCTGAGACAGGAGCGGTAGAAGAGGCCGGCGCTGCTCCACATGCAGTGTGCTCATGTAGGTCACGTTCTACATTATGACCTTCACGTTACAGCAGGAGAACACACTTCAAGGAACACTTGTCTTACGAAAATATTATGAATGTGTGTAGCTGTGCAATAAAAATGCATATACAATCAGTTACACAGAGAAATCTGCAGCAGGAGGATAAAGAACGAGCCTCCTCCTCTTCTCTTTACTTTTACTCTTCACTCCTTTACTTTGTTGGAGTAAAGAAATGGTGGATACTAACTCCGCTGAACACATCCATTAGCCCACATATTTCATTTCATTTGTTAAGCGCGAAGATTTGTTTCAAAACTATTTCTAAATTCAGTTCTAATCTCCAGCAGATGAATAAATGAACAATAATAATGAAGTGTGGTCAAACAACTGAGTTATATCTAGGGCCAGACGAAATCTACAGACATTTTTTTGCTGTTTCTGTGCAGAATTTTGGTAAAATCTGTGGATTTATGCAGAATGATTTTGGAAGTATCATAACTAAAACCTTAATATATCAAATAAAAAGTAAGACCTTTTTAACTTGTATTTAATGTTTACAATGCAAATCCAATTAGATCCACTTTATTTGGTAAACAAAGCAAATCTTTCATATAATATCTCTACTAAAAGACAGAAAATAGTACTTTACAAACTGCATTGTAAATGAATCATATGAATATTTCCATATTAGTGATATACAGTTGAAGTCAGAATTATTCGCCCTCTTTTGATTTTTATTTTCTTTTTTAAATAATACCCAAATAATGTTTAACAGAGCCATGAAATTTTCACAGTATGTCTGATAACATTTTTATAAAGTCTTATTTGTTTTATTTTGGCTAGAATAAAAGCAGTTTTTAATTTGATTAAAAAACATTTTTGGGACAAAATTATTACAAAATATTTTTTTTATTTTTTTAAATTATTTTAAGCTAATTTTTTTCCCGATAATCTGCAAAACAAACCATCATTATTATAACTTGCCTAATTACCCCAACCTGCCTAGTTCACCTTATTAACCAAGTTAAGCCTTTAAATGTCACTTTAAGCTGTATAGAAGTATCTTGAAAAATATCAAGTCAAATATTATCTACTGTCATCATTCATTCACTGGTCGCCTTAGTCCCTTTATTAATCCGGGGTCACCACAGCGGAATGAACCGCCAACTTATCCAGCAAGTTTTTACGCAGGGGATGCATACACTCTCATTCACACTCATACACTACGGCCAATTTAGCTTACCCAATTCACCTATAGCGCATGTGTTTGGACTTGTGGGGGAAACCGGAGCACCCGGAGGAAACAGGCCACCATGGGGAGAACATGCAAACTCCACACAGAAATGCCAACTAAACCAGTCGAGGCTCGAACCAGCAACCTTGTTGCTGTGAGGTGATCGTGCTACCCACTGCGCCTCTGTGACGCCCCAGTCATGCTTTTTTACCATCCCTAGTAGCAAAGAATTCTGGCCCAGATTTGGCAAAAAGCTGGCACAGCAGGCATTCATCCGGCACTGGCATACAGCATGTGGGCCAAACATGGCCCGGGTTTGGCAGAGGTGGCACCGTTTTTAAGGCGGCACACAAGATTTGGGCCAGATGAAAAACGTAGTATTTGGCCCAGATTTAAAAATTTGATGAGTGGGCCATGTGAGTTTGGCCAGTCTTGACCCACATTTAAAATACACTAAAATCATTTTTGAGTAAAGAAAAAAAATTCGACCAATCAGGTCACTTTGAGAAAAAGCGTGCCCATAGTGTGCCTAAAGCGCATCACTCCATGGGTTTATCAATTTCAATGCAATCGTGACACACCAACCTATCTGACCCAGTTATGAGTTATTAACTTGGCTGAGACTTGGCCCAGATATGCTCTGTGTTTGGCCCTTGTCTGGAAGCCAGATTTGGTCCAGTCATGTACCGTAATTCACTGCGGCATGTGGGCCAAGCAAAACCTGATTGTGTGGGTCAGAGCTGGGCCAGAGAAATTTTGCTATGTGGGATGTAACTTCAATTTAAATTTGCATGTGAATTTTTCATTTTGATTTATGTTGTACCCCTTAGATTCCAGGTATTCAGACAGTCGTATCTCTGCCAAACAAGTTCCAATTCAACATCAACGCCAATCATATTTTTTCAGCCGTCAGGTGATTTAAAAAATCTAAGCGTAAAGAAATTGAAACTGTGGTGGTCCAGCAGCGCCACATATTTCACATCAACATTATCATCATTTGATTGCCCATGAGTCTTTTATCTGTTGTAAATGATCTTCACAAATGCTAATGTACTCACCCTATAATATACATGTCTGTGTTTCCATCTCCAACATTCAGGCCCAGCAAATTAGTGATGTCTTCCGGAGGCATCGCTGAGCCCACGTTCCAAGTGACAATATGAATCCTGTGAAGACAGAAGCACACACTAGAGAACTGCTGTTGAACAGGGATATTTCACCAGAAAGCCACACTGACAGGTTGTTAGTTTCACTTAAAATGACTTTAAAACATGTTTGCTTCATAGTAGTGTAGCAAACAAGTTGAAGAAATGAACAGGGAGAAAGAAAATCATCAGGACAATTACACACTGGCAAAGTAGACGGCATTGTTGACTGTAAAGGGAGTAGCCTAGTTTTGTCGAGTCTCATCGCATCACTTCATCTTAACTAAACATGTTAACGAATGCCTCATTATGTAGGTTTTACATGCATCCAGTGGGCTTTCTGAAGTCTTGGAGTATTTGTGCATAGTATTATGATATATTTACATTTTTTAATAAATAACCCAGTAGATAATTTTGTTTTCTAAGTTGCATGGGTATATTTGGCAAATTATAGCAATATTTAAAAAAGTTACAGTGTATGGGTCAAAACTACAGCCTTTTCTACGCCAAAAATGAACTGAACATTATGATAATTACTGTACTATATAAACACTACTGTAACTATATAAAATGTTTTATTTTTTTTCAATTTTGAATTATTATTGCATTGTTAAGCAATTCATTAAGAGCTTTATAGGTGATTTTCTCTTGTTTATTTTAACTCCAAAAAAAAAAATATCATTCTAACATAACAATATATAATTATATACTATAATACTACTACTGCTGCCAATAATAATAATGAATTGATTAATTAAAACAATTATAAATAATAAACAAACAAATAAAGAAATAAATGAAAAAACAAAACAAATAAAGAAATAAATGAATAAATAAATAAAAACAAATAAAATAACAAAAAGCAAGCAAAACAAATAATAAATGAATAACAAGCAAACAAACAAACAAACATTTTACAAACAAACATATAAATAAATAAATAACAAATAAATAAACAAACAAAAATAAATAAATAAATAAATAAATGCATGAATAAACAAAAAAGAATAAAAAGCACATAAATAAACAAAAATAAATAAAAATAAATGAATAAACAAAAAAAATTTAATTAATAAAAAATAAATTAAATTAAAAAATAAAAAGATTTACCAATAAATAAAAAGAAATAAACAAACAAATAAAAATTAATAAATTAACAAAAAACACATAAGTTAATTTAAATAAATAAATTAACAAACAAACAAATACATTTAAATAAATTGATGTACAAACAAAAAATGAATAAACAAACAAACAACAAATAAATAAATAACAAAAACAAGCAAATAAATAATTAAATGAATAAACAAATAAATAAAAAAGAAATAAAATGAAAGAATAAAAAAACAAACAATTAATAAATAAATTAATAATAAACACATAAAAATAAATAAATAAATATATAATCAAACAAATAAATATAAAGAAACAAACAAGTAATAAATAAATGAATAAAAAAACAAATAAATAAACAAAAAGAAACAAACAAATAATTAATAAACAAATAAAAATAAACTAATGAATAAACAAACAAATAAACAAATAATTATAAATAAACAAACAAACAAACAAACAAACAGATAAACAAAAATAAGTAAATAAAAACAAACAAACAAATAATTACCGTCCTATCCCAACAACCCACATATAAATGCTTTCAGCTTAAAAAATCCTTTCAGGTGATGTACAGATTGACAATTGTGACATATATTATATATAATATATACCACATTTATTCCATGAACACATATTCAAATGAGGGTCTCCAATATTGGATTTACCCACCCAAGCCTACTTTAACAAACAGTAAAATAGAGTTTCTGATCATGCCTGTGTAATGAGTAAATGAAGTGAAGGACAAAGTTTAAATCCAAGCCATGGAGCTGTGAGCAGTAGACACACAAGATTATTTCAGCGCTGATCCGCCTGGAGCACAAATGACTGCTGGAGTGGACTATTCAAGGTGTCGAAGCTCTAAAACACTCCGACATGATGAAGCTGGAGAGGAAACAGACCTGATGAACTCCTACATCACAGATAACTCACTTCTTTATTCACCTGTAGTACAATCTATGTCTTAAAGGCACAATATGTACGATATTTTCAGTTGAAAATCCAAAAATCACTGGAGGAGTGATATATTTTGCTGACTTATGTACTTACATCATCATAAACGTTTAGAAGAATGTTAAAATCCTGAGAAATAAGTTTTAACTAGTGTTCAGAGCATGTGCTGTGTGTGTTCATGCTAATTTCCGGTTTGGTTTTATAGAAAACGGGGGAACAACAGTGATGCTTTAATGTGTTCTGTGTTTTATTGGACTGCACAGAGCAGCATTAGAACTGAAGCCTAAAATGCATTTAGTATGATAAAACAGCGCTGCCTCTTCTCCATGTGTTCACGAGCCAAAAATGCTAAATTACCAGAATGGTTTCAGACGTAAATTTAAAAATGCACTGTAAATGCACTGCTATTATCAGTAAATGTAAAAAATTGTGCTTTCAATTGCCATAAAATTACTGGAACAGATTTAAAAGTAAATAAATAAGAAGTGCTGTAAATTGCTGTAAAATTACCAAAACAATTTTAAAGTAAATAAAAAAAAAATCATAAAATTACATGAATGGTTTTAGCGGTGAATAAAAAATCTGGTGTAAATTGCTGTAAAACTACTAGAAGGGATTTACCAGTAAATAAAAAATGCTGGAAAATGGTGTAAAATAACCAGTGCACTTTTACCAATTAATTAAAAAATGCACTTGTTAATTGCCATAAAATAACCAGAATGGTTTTACTGGCAAATTTAAAAATGCACTTGTAAATTGCTGTTAAATTACCAGAATAGTTTTACCAGTAAATTGCCATAAAATTACTGGAACACTTTTACCGGTAAATGAAAATAATGTACTGTAAATTGCCGTAAAATTATATGGACAGTTTTCCAGTGAGTTCAAAAGTACACTGTAAATTGCCGTAAATTTACCAGTAAATTTAAAACTGCACTGTGAATTGCCGTAAAATTACTGGAACGAATTTACAAGTGACTAAAAAAAATGTGCTGTAAATTGTCATTAAATTACCAGAATGGTTTTACTGGCAAATAAAAGAATGTGCTGTAAATTGCTGTAAAGTTACCAGAACGGATTTACCAGTAAATAAAAAATATGCTGTAAAATGGTGTACAATGGTGTAAAATAACCAGAGCAGTTTTACCAGTGAATTAAAAAATGTGCTGTAAATTGCGGTAAAATTACTGGAACACATTTACCAGTGAATAAAAAATTGCACTTGTAAATGCACTGTGAATTGCTGTAAATACTGGAACGGATTTACAAGTGACAAAAAAATGTGCTGTAAATTGCCATTAAATTACCAGAATAGTTTTACCAGTAAATTGTCATTAAATTACTGAAGCGGTTTTACCGGTAAACAAAAAAAAATTCGCTGTAAATTGGCAGAAAATTACTGGAACGGATTTACCAGTAAAAAAAAAAATGCTGTAAAATGCTGTAAAATAACCAGAGCACTTTTACCAGGGGATTAAAAAATGCACTGTAAATTGCCATAAAATTACTGGAACACATTTACCAGTAAATAAAAAACTGCACTGTAAATTGCTTTAAATTTACCAGTAAATTTAAAAAAATGCACTGTGAATTGCTGTAAAATTACTGGAACAGATTTACAAGTGACTAAAAAATGTGCTGTAAATTGCCATTAAATTACCAGAACAGTTTTATCAGTAAATTGTCATAAAATTACTGAAGCGGTTTTACCGGTAAACAGAAAAATTCGCGCAAAATTACTAGAACAGATTTAACGGTAAATACATAAAAATGCACTGTAAATTGACAAAATTACTATAATGGTTTTACTGGAAAATTTACATTTGGCGTAAAATTACAGATCTGAATTTACCAGTAAATACAAAAAGGACGTACAGGTTTTACCAGCAAATTAAAAAAGGCACTGTAGTTTACTGAAAAATTACTGGAACAAACTTGCCAGTGAACTTTTAAAATTAATTGTCGTAAATTGTCAAAATTGCCGTAAGATTATCAGACTGGCTTTACCAGTAAATACTAAATGTGCTGTAAATTGATGTAAAATGATCGTAACGTTTTTACCAGTTAATAAAAAAGAAGTGCTGCAAATTGGTATAAAAATACTTGAATGGTTTTACCAGTTAAATAAATAAAACTCCACTATAAATCGCCTTACAATTACCAGAACTAATTTACCAGAAAATACAAAAAGTGTGCTGTAAACTGCCTTAAATTACCGGACTGATTTTACCAGCCTATAAAAAAAAAACAATGTGCTGAAATTGGTGTAAAATTACTAGAATGGTTTTACTGGCAAAAAAAAATGCACTGTAAATTACCATCATTTACTACTAAATAAAATAAGTGCTGTAAATTACCATAAATTACCGATCCGAATTTATCACTAAATAAAAAAGTGCTGTAAATTACAATAAATTACCGGTCCGAATTTACCACTAAATAAAAAATTGCTGTAAATTAATATAAATTACCGGTCTGAAATTCCCACTTTTATTTAGTGGTAAATTCGGACTGGTAATTTATATTCATTTACAGCACTTTTTTATTTTAAAGTGCAGTAAATTAATATAAATTAATGTAAATTAATATAACCACTAAAAAAAAAAAGCAGTAAATTACCATAAATTACCGGTCAGAATTTACCACTAAATAAAAAAATGCAGTAAATTACCATAAATTACCGGTCAGAATTTACCACTAAATAAAAAAATGCAGTAAATTACCATAAATTACCGGTCAGAATTTACCATTAAATAAAAAAGGGCTGTAAATTAATATAAATTACCGGTCCGAATTTACCACTAAATAAAAAAATGCAGTAAATTACCATAAATTACCAGTCCGAATTTACCACTAAATAAAAAAGGGCTGTAAAGTAATATAAATTACCGGTCCGAATTTACCACTAAATAAAAAAGTGCTGTAAATTACCATAAATTACCGGAATGGTTTTACCAGTGAAATTAAAAATGTACAGTAAATTTGTGTAAAATTTCTAAAATAGTTTTACTGGTGAATTAAAAAGGCCCTGTTTCTCCTTCAGGAAAATTGCTGGAGCATATTTTCCAGTACATTAAAAATGGCTTGTTCAAACACAATCACTGGAAAAGTTTGGATGTATGAAAGCTGCTATGGACCCTTTTTACAAGAAAGTTTTTTTTTGTAAAACACATGAACATTTATATGTATTAAATACTAAATGAAATGAAAAATAAATGAAGTGCTACCTGAAGTCTTCTGCCACCTGCGGCTGTGTGTCTGCGGTGCCGGCAACAGAAAGAGCGCGCTGCGGGTGAACCACTGACTCTGTAGACGGAGGCTTATATGATGGAGCCTGAGGAAGCGATGCAGCCCTCATGGAAATATGGCTCCGAGCCACAGAAGCATGTCCCGAAAGCTTCAGCGCAGCCGGAGGTGCATGAACTCTGAGCTGAGCCTGAGCTTCAGCGTTCGGTTCATCATGGCTGCTGGGTTTTGGAGACTCTGGAGGTTTGGGCTCTGAGACGTCGATGGATCCTTCGACTCGCGGGCTCCTCTGGGGCCGCCGTGGTCTGGCCGGAGCCGACGGGACTGCAGGAGGAGATGCTTCTGATGGTGCTTTTGGTGGTGTAGACGAGGCCAGATCATTGCTTTTGGACTCACTTTGAATCTGCTGCTCTGCTTCCATCCTTTACCTAGAGCGAATAAAACACAACTGTAGATCAGCCAGAATGTGCAATTCAACTGTAAATCACTCTGGATTATGTAATTTGGCTAATATTTATTAGTAAAGAGGAACTAGAAGCACTTGAGAAATGCTGCAGTTATGCAACTGAAAAGTCTACAGAGTTTTATTTTTGTTATGAATCACTAAAGGTTTATTGTTTATGCTCAGCAGGCATAATAATTAAAATAATAATAATTAATATATTTATTTATTTATTCATTCATTTTCTTGTCGGCTTAGTCCCTTTATTAATCCGGGGTCGCCACAGCGGAATGAACCGCCAACTTATACAGCAAGTTTTTACGCAGCAGATGCCCTTCCAGCCGCAACCCATCTCTGGGAAACATCCACACACACTCACACACACACTCATACACTACGGACTATTTAGACTACCCAATTCACCTGCAGCATGTCTTTGGACTGTGGGAGAAACCGGAGCACCCGGAGGAAACCCACGTGAAGGCAGGGAGAACATGCAAACTCCACATAGAAACGCCAACTGAGCCGAGGCTCGAACCAGCGACCTTCTTGCTGTGAGGCGACAGCACTGCCTACTGTGCCACTGCGTCGCCCCTTTATTTATTTATTTATTCATTAATTTTCCTTTGGCTTAGCACCTTTATTCATCAGAGGTCACCTGGAATGAATCACCAACTTATCCAGCAAATGTTTTACGCAGTGGATGCCCTTCCAGCTGCAACCCAGTACTGTGAAACACCTATACACACACTCATTCACACACATACACTATGTCCAATTTAGTTAATCCAATTCCCCTTTAGCGCATGGGTTTGGACTGTGGGGGAAACCGGAGCACCCGGAGGAAACCCACGCCAACACGGGGGGAACATGCAAACTCCACATAGAAATGCCAACTGACCCAGCCGAGACTCGAACCAGTGACCTTCTTGCAGTGAGGCGAATGTGCTAACCGCTGAGCCACCGTGTCACCCAGTCTTTGTTGTCACATGATCCTTCAGAAATCAGTCTAGTATAAGGATGTGATTAAACATTTCTTCTTTTAGTAAATGTTGAAATGTTGCCTAAAATCTGTGTGGAAATGTTTTGTTGTCGCTACTGTTGTAACGAATAGAAACGTTTTTATTTCGCAAAATGAATAATAGGGGTGTCAAAATTAATTGTTTTTTCGGTGCACCGCGATGCAGACGCGGACAATTCGGTATCGGTTCAGTAATAATCATAACCGGTTATTATGTAGTGACGTCATTTATCTCCTATGCGCTCTGTCGGGAGGGAGGTGAGCGCCGGTATTTACAACACACAGGAGCCAACTCAGGGCCGGCCCGTGGCATAAGCAGTATAGGCAAATGCTAAGGGCGCTGTCAGGGCCGGAGCAAGCTGAACTGCCGCTCTAGGCAGAGGACGATCACGCCACCCTCAACCCCAATGTGAAAACGAAAGTGACCGGTTATGAAAATGAAGTGAGGTGTCGCGGACCTCTTTTCCGGCGCACTACGCGCGGATATAACTGAGGACGTGCGGGTGCTGAAGGAGGGAGGGAGGTGTCGAGGACACTGCGCTCTCTATTCTGCCGCCCTATGCGCAGATATAACTGAGGACACGCGGGTGCTGATGGAGGTGTCGCTGACGCCCCCCCTCTCTATTCTGTCGTCTATGCGCGAATATATCTAAGGACGCGGGTGGTAAGGGAGGTGTCGTGGACATAACTGAGGACGCGGGTGGTAAGGGAGGTGTCGTGGTGTCGCGGTTCAGTTGATTTTGTTTTCGATATTCCAGACAAATTCAGTTATAGTGGCAATAACTCAAAACCTCTTCCCTAAAACATCTAAAGTGTGTTTCCTACACAAAGACAAAGCTGGTTATGTTTCACAGCTGTCTTTTTCTTATCTTTTTCGCTCGATATTACAAGCAATGCTCCCTTTAAGTCCTTGCAATATGCGTTTAGCCAGGAGAGCTCGCGCTGAGTGGAGCTCTCAGTAAGGGACCGTCGGAAAAGTGCCTCTTTTTTTTCTTTTTTCTTCGTTTTTTTTTTTTTTGCTCCGCTCAGCGCGAGCTCTCCCGGCTAAACACATATTGAGAGGGCTTAAGTATGTGTGTTTGTTTGTGTGTGTGTGTGTGTTTGATGCTGTCTATGTTTGTGTATGTTTGTGAATGAGAGACAGTGTGGTGCTGTGTGTCTGTGTGTTTATACAGACAGCTTGTTATAGCCTCCCCCTAAAATATAACACTGTGTGTGGAAAGAATCGTCAATGCACCGTGATGCACCAAGTTATCGAATTGAACCGAATCGATGGCATGATAATCGTAACCGAACCGAACTGTGAGACCAGTATAGGTTCACACCTCTAATGAAAATGCCTTGTAACATTCTAAATGTATTTACTGAAATGTTACTGATTGATGTACCTTTGCTGAATAACTCAGATTTAAACTTCAGCATTTTTTTAATTTTTCATTTCAGCAATAATCTCCCATAATGTGTTGTATATATTATTACGGTACATTTTTATTTACTATACAGTTAAAGTCAGAATTATTAGCCCCTCTGTGTATTTTTCTCCAATTTCTGTTTAATGAATAGAAGACTTTTTTCAACACATTTTTAAGCAATAACTTATTGTTAATAACTGATTAATTTTCTCTTTTTCATGATGACAGCATATAATATCAGACTAGATATTGTTCAAGATACTAGTATTCAGCTTAAAGTGACATTTAAAGGCTAAACTAGGATAATTAGGCAAGTCATTGTATAACAGTGGTTTGTTCTGTAGACTATCAAAAATAAATATTGCTTAAGGTGGCTAATAATACTGAGCTTAAAATGGCTTTCTAGCTAAAATAAAACATATAAGACTTTCTCCAGAAGAGAAAAAATATTATAGGAAACACTGTGAAAATTTCCTGAATCTGTTAAACGTCATTTTGGAAATATTTGAAAAAGAAAGGAATGAAAATATCACAGGAAGGCGAATAATTTTGACTTTTACTACTATGCTTAAGCAGATATTGACTCGATTCATATTTCACTGATATGGCAGATTAAGGGTTAAACACACGAGAGAAACTCTTTCAAGGTGATGGGTTTCATCTGTAGCTCGCGGCGCTTCTATTCTAGTTTGAGCTGTAAAATGACAGATGACAAGCTGGACAAAAACTAGTGCAGACAACAGACACAGCTGTGAACGCACAGAACACACTGCATAGAGAGTTTACAGCATTTCTCAAAAACACACCTCGCTTCGATGAGAACAGAAAAAAATGACCAAATGCTACTGTCTACTATACTTTGCACACATAAGCCTATTTCACACATACAGACCTTTTCGGAAAATTACCGGCAATTTTCCGGAAAGGTGTGTATGTGTGAACAGGTCCTTTTTGAAAATACCGGTAAATTCGTTCTAGCTATTTTCCGGAAAGAGAAGTTGTAACAGTACCGGCAATTTGCCGGAATGCTGCGCTGTGTGAACGCAGAAGGAAGATTTCCGGAATAAGCGCGTGCACGCCTAGAACGTGCTGACGTAAGACTTCTGCTTTAGCCAATCACAACAGTCAGACGCATTTACGTCCGCGCGGTTTGTGAGAATAAAAACCTTTGAATATTTTTCCAGACACATTTAGCTGCTAGAAGTTAGGCAGATCACGTTTATATGTTCTTCTTAATGCAAACTGTGCAAATAATCATCGATAAGATGCTTATGATAAGCCGATGTTTGTTTACCTTCAAGCTTTGCGTGTGCCCATGAAACAGCCTGTGAGCGCCTGCACACGCACATATTATGAACATCTCGACATGTGAATATGATCCTGTGAAAGTTGTTTACAATATTGATCATCAAAAGAGTTTGCAATTTAGTCAAATGTTTACAAATACAAGCGCAGCCGTTTAAAGCTCATTTCTGGTGAATGATGTCAGAATTTACCGGTATTTTGGAATGGATGTGTGAATGCTCTTTTCCGGAAAAATTCCGTAACGTCCTCGCCTGTGTGAACAGCGCTTTTTTCAATATACCGGTAAAGTCGTTCCGTAGATTTTCCGGATATTTACCGGTATCACTGTGTGAAAGGGGCTTATATAGACTCATTAAGTTTAAAGGTCTAGTTTTTTAGATGTTAGTATAAGTAGTCTTCAAGGATATCTAAGCAAAACACTGACAAAATTAGTGTTTAGTAGATATAAAACCAACATAAAGCTTGTAGTTTGTCACTTCCACCAAAGAGCACAGAATCACCAAGAGGCGACACTCTTGTTTTTGTTTGGGATACAACCACTAGATGCCGCTAGTGTCAGGCGGTGGCCATTTTGGAATGAAAACTCCAATAGAACAACAGCATAAGTCTATAGCTGCGTCCCAAATCGCATACTTATGCACTATTCTTCGCCATTTTGTAGTATAAATAGTGTAAGTAGTGTGTTCACACTGAAAACTCTAAAAACATTAAGTGCACTTTAATTACCCGGATGATGCACTCATTCAGCCGGTTAAATGAAGTGTGTAATGATGGACACTTCACGCACTCAACGACCGCAGGTTTGCTTACGTAGCGGAAGGGGCGGAGCTATCGGGCACACACGTTGAATAACTTTATTTATTTTGGATGGTAAAAGCAAAGTTCTACTATGAGAGTGATTATAGCGCCTCCCGATGGTGAATGGGGCAATACTCACGGCAGGTATTATTTGATAATTCGGTTGTTTATTTCACTGATTTGGCAACCGTCAAACGTCATCAGGGAAACGGTTTGAATTTCCGCTTAGTAAAAAAACATTAGTGTGCCAACACTACATACATATACTATCCTGTTGAGTGTGTAAGTGCATAAGTACATAGTGCATGAGTGCATAGTGTATAGTGTGCCATTTGGGACGCAGCTTGTAAAATAAGCTATTTAAAGTGCTGATGATTGTCATAGTAAGTGTTGTATTATCGTCTTTCAAGTTGTATCTCAGCTTTAATACGCTTTTTAAATAAATAAATA